CTGTATAAAAGTATGGTAAATTAATTTTGCTTATTTTTGAAGGTTCTGTTTTTCATTTGTATAAGTGGCCTTTTATTCGTTTACTAGTGATACATGTGAATATCGTTACTATGTTTATATTTTAAAATGATACCCTTGTTGATTTTTTTTTTTACTGTTTGTGGTAGTTTGCAGATGGTTTTTCCCCATTAAATCCTTGCTCTAATTATTTTTCTTCCCTCTTTTTCTTATGAATAGGTTTTGATGGTACCCTGTTTGATTACTTTAATGGTTATGAAGATTTAAAAAATAAAAAAGTTCGATTTGTTGGACATGCTGAACAGAGAATTCAAGAAGATTATCTTCGAATTTTAAGATATTTCAGGTAAGAATTTGTAAGTTTTAACAATAGGAAATTTCAGTTTTTAATGTCACCCCTTAAGCACAATCCCTTTTTGTGTAGTGTGACATCAGCAGGAATACAAACTAGAGACCCCAAGTACTTCAGTGATGAGGTAGCACCCTTTGACTTTTATTCTGAACTATACACAAAGTATTCTTTGTGCTATGCTCTGTATAAAAGCTTTAAATTATTAGTGCTTTTCCGTCATTGATCCTGGGGATTGTGTCCTTACCACATGCCTGATTAGGTGCTCTGATTAGTGAGGAGTGATTTAAAGCATCTGTCCTCATGACCTTAAGTCTGAGATGCTCTGGGACATATCTGGTGTCTTACCACAAAATGACACGCAAAAGGAAAATGCTATTAAATGCATGTTAAAACAATTGGAGGATAAATATACTTAAAAGTTGGGGAAACTGGTTAAGTGTGAAATACATGGACAGTTTTGTGGATAGCAGTGATTTGAATTTTTGTAGATTAAATTTTAAATTGATACATAATACAAGCTATACATGTATATGTAATGTTTTGATACATTGTAATGTAAGCATATCTGAATATGTTGGTTGTCTGTAGTCACAATAGTATGCAGCAGTGATGACAATGTCATTTTATGTGTTGACTTATAACTGAGTGCCCACAGTTAAGTCATCTAACATATCTTAGTCCTCAACTTTTTTTAAAGTTAATTTTTTAATTTATTACAATTTATTCACTTTGTATCTCAGCTGTAGCCCCCTCCCTCATCCCCTCCCGATCCTGCCCTCCCTCCCTCTTCTCCTCTCTTGCCCCTTCCCCAGTCCACTGATGGGGGAGGTCTTCCTCCCCTTCCATCTGACCCTAGCCTTTCAGGTCTCATCAGGACAGGCTGCATAGTCTTCCTCTGTGGCCTGGTAAGGCTGCTTCTCCCTCAGGGGGAGGTGATCAAAGAGCCAGCCACTGAGGTCATGTCAGAGACAGCCCTGTTTCCATTACTAGGGAACCAACTTGGAGTCTGAGCTGCCATGCGCTACATCTGTGCAGGGATTCTAGGTTATCGCCATGAAGGTCCTTGGTTGGGAGTATCAGTCTTACAAAAGACCAGTGTGCCCAAATTTTTTGGTTCTGTTGCTCTCCTTGTGGAGCTCTAGTCCCTTCCACGTCTCTCTATCGCCCCCTTCTTTCATAAGATTCCCTGCACTCTGCCCAAAGTTTGGCTATGAGTCTCAGCATGTGCTTTGATACCCTGCTGGGTACAGTCTTTCAGAGGCCCTCTGTGGTAGGCTCCTGTCTTGTTCCTTGGATATCTATCCCATTTGCCTTTCTGAATGAGGATTGAGCATCGTACCCAGGGTCCTCCTCCTTGCTTAGCTTCTTTAGGTGTATAGATTTTATGTTTATCCTATATTACATGTCCTCAACTTTTGAGCTCACCCATTTTTGATTACATGTGATATGAAGCACATATTTTTGTGTCTGGACTATTTAAGACTGTTATTTCTAACTTTATTGAAGTGGTGTCATATGCCTAAAATGCCTATAATCCTAACACTAAGGGAACCTAAGGCAGGAAGGTCGTGAGTTCAATGCCAGCCTTAGCTATACTCTGAGTTTAAGGCTACTGCACCATATTTTCAGTGTGCTCCATTTTCTGTCAGTTGATCGATCAGCAGTCCATTTAACTTCTTGGATGTTTATTTTTAAAAGTGAGCCACTGTGAACAAAATAGAGGCAGGATCACCTCCAGATAACTGACTTTACTTCCTTTGGACATAAAAAATCTAAAGTGGATATCTGTTCAGTCTTCAGACGAGTCTCCCCACTTCCCATTGCTTGTACTAGTTTATTTCTGCCTACCTTTGCAAGTGAGTTTCTGTATGACTTCTTTAGCACTTGTTATCTTTGATCAGCCAGTTGTTTTTGAGTTCCTTCTATAATTTAAGCAATGCCTCATCAGATGTATCATTTACAAATATTCTGTAGGTTGTATCTCAATAGTTTCTTAACAAGGATTTTTTTTTTTTTTAATCCAAATTTTAACCTTAAAAAAATAATTCTACCTGGTAGTATACAACATTGTTCACTAGTTGGGACCACTCAGAATACTGTGTTGCACAATATATTTTGTCAGTACATCCAAGTTTTTTACACTTGAGCATATGCAAACAGTCTGTTAATAACAGACCAGTAGCACTGTCTATTTTTTGTTGATCCATCACCTAGATGTGTTTGAGTTAGCCTATTAAAAATGGAAAACATTTTTTGTGGTGATACATGCCTGTATAGAGGTAACAAAACTGAGGGTAGTTGCTGTTTTTTCTTTTAATAATAAATGTAAAAAAATGTCTTACAGGGTTTTTTTGTTTGTTTGTTTTGTTTTGTTTTTTTGTCTTACAGGTTTTATGGTAGAATTGTTGACAAACCTGGTGACCATGACCATGAGATTCTAGAAGCAATTGCAGAAAATGCCAAAGGCTTGGCTGGGATATCAGGAGAAAGGATTTGGGTAGAGCTGAAGAAAATTCTTAGTGGTAACCATGTAAACCATTTGATGCATCTAATCTATGACCTTGATGTGGCTCCTCACATAGGTGAGAACAGTGTATGAATTTCTAACAACAAAATAGCTAGTGTAAAGTACATGAGGTAAAATGTTCCGTGTTATGTAGCTAAGGAATTTAAATTGGGGAGATGAAATTCTAAGATAAACTTTGGGATCAAGGATTAGGAGAGTTTATTTATGGGTAAAGAATAGTTCAGAGAGAACACTTAAATTTGATGAAGCTGTGCCACTTACTGGCTTTGCAGGTTGGGTTGGTTTATCATCAGAAAGGGTTAAAATAACAGCAGTTAGCTCATAGAAAATAAGAGGAAGCCGCGAGTTAATGTACAATAAGTGCTTTCACAAGGATTCTTACTATATAGAAAATAAGTCAGTAATTATAGCCAATATATTCCAGTCAGGAACTTTGGCTCTGATTTACAAGAACAAGAAATTACTGGTTAGGGAATGGGTACAGACAGGAGTGTGACTAAGAAGGCATCTGATGTGCACCTGATGTGACCACAGCTCCTGAACCTTCTGGGAAGCAAGAACATGATAAGTTTTCCCTAGGAGTTAAAGAGAGTGACAGATGGGCTGATAATAAGCAGTGGAGAAATCTGAACACTATACATTCGTAAAAACGGCATAGTTTAAGAGATGAGTGAGGTTTTGTAATTAAAAAAAAATGACTTTTTTCTTTTCTTTGGGTCTATACAGGTTTACCTGCTAATTCAAATTTAGAAGAATTTAACAAAGTCAGTAAAAATGTTGAAGGCTTTTCACCAAAACCGATGACTCTTTTGGCCTCTTTATTCAAAACCCAAGATGATGTCACAAAACTGGATTTGAGATTGAAAATTTCAAAAGAAGAGAAAAACTTGGGTTTATTTATAGTTAAAAACAGGAAAGACTTGATTAAAGCAACAGATAGTTCAGAACCATTGAAACCATATCAAGACTTTGTTATAGACGTAAGTATGTAGGCTTGTTCAGAAAATAGTTCTTAAGTAATTGGAGAAGTGACTTTCAAACTGTAGATTTTACGTAAGTATTTGTGTCAATATGTGATAGAACTGTGTCACTTAGTCTAGGGAACCGGATGCCCCTGCCCGTGTGTGTGAGCTGCTCAAGTACCAAGGAGAGCATGGTCTTCTCAAGGAGATGCAGCAGTGGTCTGTCCCGCCATTCCCTGTGAGTGGACATGACATCAGGAAAATTGGCATTTCTTCAGGGAAAGAAATTGGAGCCCTGTTACAGCAGTTGCGTGAGCAGTGGAAGAAAAGTGGTTACCAAATGGAAAAAGATGAACTTCTAAGTTACATAAAGAAGCCCTAAAATGAGCTCCGTATGAACAGTGGAAAGTCTTGGTAAGTCTGGTTTTCTTTCCTTCTGTTTCTTAAATATCTTAAATAGCAAGAATAAACTCAGAAGTACTGAAAAACTAAGTTCAAGTCTACCTCCTCTGAATTTTCCAACTCTATTGGAACAGTGCCAGGTGAGAAAAAGTCATAGCTGTTACTTGCTTAGACTGGCCATTGATCTTAAAACGTGGTAATTGTTGAAGGAAAACATTATGTGCTAAAATAACCCAGTTTGTTGTCTAAGCTATTTCCTGAATTTTAAAATTGCTTAGAAAGTTATAGGAATAATTGAAGGGCTGATGTTGAGATTTCTAGGTGCCACGGATAGTCAACTATTTATTTTACTAATTAGACGGATGTGGCTTCTTAGATTTTAACATTTTATAATTAACTCTCCTTTCTGCATAGACACTCATAGTATTTGTGTAAGCAAACAACAGCTTTTGATTAAAGCCCAAATAAGAGGAGTTTGAATAGGATCATGTTACAAAGAAGAGGAGGCTCAAAATCCATTTCATCCAGTCAGTATAGCTGGATTTTATACTATTGAGTTCCTGCTGCTGTCATTCCACCTGCATGAATATGCAGGAAGTATACAATGTGCAAGATTCCTTTAAAGAGTAAGTGGATGGTGAGATACGCTGCAGAAGTAAAAGCAGAATTCCCTCACTTCCTGACTGCGGCATGAATGAAACAGAGTAGAGCTGTAAAAAAATGACATTGAGGACTAGCCTATTCTTGAGTTACATTTTATTATATGCTTAATATACTTTAAATGTTTTACTTGATTGCTTAAACATAATTCAACTAGATAGTGTAGCTTTGGATATAGATATTATTTTTGGTCAGTTTTATTTGAAGATGGCCTTCAGTTGCTTTAGCTTTATTTCCTAAAGGGTATAATCCCAGAAATATATACTGTTTGCTTACATTTGCAAATGAAATGTAAAATGGACATATGCTACTATTTAAAGGGTTCTAATACGACAGGGTCAACAAATAAATAGTGCACATACACAAAATGCTATTTTTTTTTCTGCTCAAACTGCTTATTTTACTCTTTAATATTTCCAAAGTTTACAAATCAGCATCTCAGACAAGCTAAAGAAAACTGAAAGGAATGAAGTCCTTTAAAAAAAAAATATACACTGCCTTGCCTCTCTCCTATGCTTTGCCAACCCAGCTTCTGGAACATTCATCATTAGAGCAGTGGTGCCTCTATCCATCCTCTCCTGTTCATAGCTATTCCCAGAACTTCAAAGGTACTTTCTTATCCTATCAATGGCATATATCCAACAGGATAATTAATGGCACCCAGCTACTAGAACCAGATGCTTCTGAATCCAGCCTGTGTTTTGTACTGTTTTTTCACAAGCTGCTTTGAAATTGGCAGTCAGATGCTGTGACCCACTGTACACATACATGAGAGGCAGTGCTGTCCGGCGCAGATCTGACTTGAGAAACCATCTTTAGGAAGCTACCCTGACAGGTGCACTTACAAACAAAGTATTACTTTATCTGGGCTTATTTCATCTTCAGTCTCTGGAATTGTGGGTAACAGAGCAGAACGAGTTAGGCCCCAAAATTTTTGAGGTGACATGTCTTTTTTGGTGGCTGTAAATTTCCATCCAATATGGCTTGCACAAATTTTACACTGGGCAATGGTCCATGCATACCTATAAAATGAAATAAAGACATTTTTTACCTTTGGTTTAGGCTTGTCATGCAATATTTCTGAAACCTTGTAAGTTTACAAAAACACCTTGTCATAATTTGCTACTATACTGCAGGTATTATATTGCTGATCTGCTTCAGCTTTAATGTCATTGCCTTCTACTACATTTTTGTTAAGAGAACAGCAATCTGGGATATGGGTGAAGAAGAGGAAGGAGAGCATGAACCTGTCAAAAAAAAAAGGCACTTTTTCCCTCAAGTTGATATTTTCCTCTTATGAAGGATACTGTTTGTAATGCTTACATTAGCATATTAATAATACTAGTTTCACTGACCTCAAGAATGATGTCAGAGGATTTTTTAAAATGAAAGATAGCAAGTAAACTCACTAATTCCTCTGTCACTTCCAGTGTAAAGGGTGGCCCACAATAAAGCAAGCTGGAAAAAGCAGAATTTATTGGTTCCTGTGTCCCATTATGTTCCTGCTTTAAGGCCTTTTGGTCCACATATCAATCAAGAGTTGTAAATAGTTACTGTGGATCATAAAGTTTTACAACGAGCTGACAAATATTTCAACTTTTTCCTGAATGCAGTGAGTCATGTCACGCCCCCAAATTCATTTCAACCTATTGATGAAACTAAGATTAGTTAAACTCTTTCTATCCTGTTTGTTTTGCAGTATTTCGAGAAGCTTCATTTAGGACTAAATGAAGAGTCAACAAAAAGAGGTAAACAGCCATATTACCCAGGAAACCAGCTGTGTACTGTAGAAGGCCGGCCTATCAGATTCAGATTGGAAGCTTTATACACAGTCAGTGTCTCATGTACATATCCATGAGGATTCACATATGCTGCCATTGGACCATATAAGGATAAACTACAACAAAGAAGAAATATGGAGAATAAGACAATCAAAAGGAAAAATAGTAATCCCAGTAATTTTCTTTCTTTGGGACATATACATTATGCTTTTTAATCTTTGAATTTTAGGTACTCCACAGCCTTTGTGTAAAATATAAACTAACTGTATTCAGGAGGTTGGTGAAAATGTTCTTTGATGATTCAAAGGGAAATACACCAGTGTTTACTAAGCGTATCGAAAAGGTCATGTTTATCTTTTCACATTACCTGTTTCATTACTTTCTTGGCTTATAATTCTAATAAATTTATACGTGTTAAACTGCTGTGTCACAGCATTAGCACTCATTCAGAAACATGTCTATGTAGCAGGATCAAATACAATGGTCCTGGTTGAAATACAATGCTAGAACCACTTGCATTATGTCAAAAGATAGAATATCTCAGATTTTAAACAAAAATTGAGGAGGAAAGTACTGTGTAGACATTGCAGATGTTTCTAGCCTGGAAGAAAAGCCTTATCTGAAACTGAATTAGTTCCCTGTTTATATTCCTTATTGAGTATATTTTTAGGCATTGGAGGAAATAAGGAAAGTGGAACTAGAAAATTCTGAAGGGAATTTGGAATATACTGAGAGAAGTAGATTAAAAATGTAATAAAAATCTTACCTAAATATTTCATTCTTGGTTGTTATTTCTGTTTCTTGACATTGTTTACAGCAAAGGGAAGTACACTAAAAATGTTAAGTGGAAAAACAGGCATGTTACCCAGATGATGAATAAACTTCTTTAGAGTACTATTGTCTTGGGTTGTATATCACATTTTTCTAACCAGATAAATTTGGATTAAGGATTGCAAAATAATTTGAAATGCTTCAGATTTTCATATTGAATATACCTTCTTCAAAGTTTGACATGACTTTACTGTTTATACATTCCTAATCCCCCAAATCTGGAATGGTCTAAATTACAGATCACCAAACAAGTGCCCACTATTACCTGACTATTACTATAAAATAGAGGTAGCCCTTGATCCCAACTGTCAACTGTCTAATGCAGCTTACACAGTCTACACAGCAGACATGTCATCTTTACTCACTTTGTTCATGATGTCTAACTCACAGCGAAGCCGCTGAATAGCACTACCAATTTTAAGGAGCTGAATTCTCAATACGTCATCAATAGGAAGACAAGCAGCTACTCTGTAAGAAAAGTCTTAAAAGACATGGTCAGGTTTGCAGGCTTTAAACTTAGGAATCATTAATGTATGCTTACATCCCAGTTATTTTCCCTTAAGTCACACATATACTTGAAGCTAAGTCCCAGAGCCAGCTTCACTTGTAGAGGCTCTATAGAACAAGAAGTGTCTACATGAGAGCCACTTCTGCTATTCAGTTTAACTAAAAATTGACTGCTGCTGCTTAAAATACTAATTTTTTAAAAACATGTTCAAAGTAAAAGAAATGCAATTGCCTTTTCAGAATTCAAAAGTTAGTTAAAACTGATTAACATTAAGGATTTTTTCAACAACATGCCTGAAATTGTAGTACTTGCCATACCTATTGGATTTGCAGGAAGAGAATCATCTTTGAGATTTTCATCCCATTCACGTAGCTGTTTCTTAATTCTATCCATTAAAGTTTCCTGGTATAAAATAAAAGTACCCACAGTAAGATTCAGCCCTTTAAAAAAGTAGTAACCCCAAGACCAGGTGAAATGCTTGTTATTTTAAAGGTGGAACTGGTTGAATCTAACTCCCTTGACTAGGAACTAGGCTTCTTGCCCTTAGGCTGTCTATCCCAAGGAGTATGATTCTAAATGCCTCTGGATGCTAGGCTGCAGCCTGAATTGGCCCCTTCTGAGTTTCTCAAGCCCCTTTCTAGCTCAGTGCAAATGGCCATGGACACATTTACTGTCTATACCTCACTTGACAACTAATCTTTACAGAAGAGTGCTGTCTTTATGTTTGTGATGATTCAAAAGCTGCTGAAGGGCAGAGTTTAACAGCATTTTCCTTGAGTGGTTTGAAAATCATATGTGCTCAAGTTACTCATTTAGTTTTTCTAGTTCTTTAGATTTCTTGGCAGGAATTCACTAAGAACTACAACACTTGTTTAATGTTTACTATGTGCAACAGCTACTATTACACCATTTTCCCCAAACTACAGAGTAACTGATAGAATCTGGGCTTTGAAGGCAGTCTTTTTGTTCCAAATCAAGATTCTGTAAAAGTTATCCTAGTATTGTCTTAGTGATTTCTGTAAGCAGTGACAGTGCACTCTTTCAACAGACAACTTGTGTAGATGCATGTTAGTTAATAAGCTAATGATGCAGAGATACATAGAGGAATACACTTGCTTGGAAAATAAGTATTGTGGTATAAGAACCCTTTTATTGTGACTTCCACATGACCTTTCATAATTTCTGTAACCAAAAATTTGTCATCCTATTTTGTTAAGTTGTAAGTATTAGGATTATAAAAATTCTAATAAAAGACAATTCCAGTAATACCTGCCTATTTTTACCAATTTATACCTAGTGCTGAAATAACATACAAGTTTCAGGCAAAGTACTTACCGCATCATATAATGAATATAGCCAGCGAGGCCATGAAGTCAGATTTGCACAGTGAAACTTTCTCTGAAACAAAAAGTGTCACCTATGAAAATTCAAGTAAAAGATTCTAACACTACAAATAGTAACATCTGAAAATGATTAGTCTTATAAAAATACTTCCTATTTTTAAAAGGATAATAGATTATCTGAAATGAATTCAGTCTCATGGCAGGTAATTATAGAAATACTTGACAATTATACTTTTATAACTTTTAAATAAATACTGGATCTGGAATTCTCATTCTTACAGAGATGCAAAAAGTTTATTTTCTTTCTTTCTTTCTTTCTTTCTTTCTTTCTTTCTTTCTTTCTTTCTTTCTTTCTCTTCTTCTTCTCTCTCTCTCTCTCTCTCTTTCTCTCTCTCTCTCTATCAGGCTTGGCATAAACATTTTATTTCAGGCTACCTAAAAATGATCTGGATGTTTTCCTACTCATGCTTAGCTCAAGAGTCTAGCCTAGTGGGCCGGAGCAGAGGACTTAAGTCCTCTCCAGTAAGCTGTCCTTTAATTCTAAGACCATGTAGTTACTGTCATACTACCAATTACAGATTTTTAAAAATGTGCTACCAATAACAGATGACTGACCAGTAATTACCATGAAATTCTATGGCAAAAATTTCACCTTCTATTAGAGTACCACACAGTTACTAGAAGTATCTCCATATTAAAAGTAAGTAAATCCAAGCATAGGAGGTTACAGATTTGGTAGTGGGAAGTAGCTAGGATTTAACCATTATTTACTCAATGTGTTGATCATTTTTATGTATTTGGGATATTACACATGTGTAATGTACCATAACAAAAAGGTAAAAATACAGCCCATGAAGCTCATACTTTTGGGGAAGAAGTCTACTTCCTAAAATTAGAAATTCTTTACAGAGTAACAGGAGCCAAAAAAGTTTCTGTTTAGGTGGCTGACACATGTCCGACTACGTAGTAAAACATATTCCGCATTAAGATGATTATTCTCTAGCAAGAAGACATTATAAAATGTAGTGCAAAAGTGTAATTTGATACATCAAGGTAAAGAGAAATGTAAATCATTATGTAATTACAAGCAGAAGATAAGAGACATGTTAACAGTGACAGGAATGTACTGAATGATGTCATCCTTTTGCACAGCCCTGACCTATAAGCAAACCAATGTCTCAATTCCCACTGAAGAAAAGGACTTCTCAAAGTATGTATTTGGTTATTTGGACAGAGTCTAAAAAAATCCATGCAGAAAGAACTGCTTTTAACAGTAGTCACACAAACTGAAAGGATCAGAACTGTTCTTAGAGAGCAACTACCCGTACCCAGCACTCATTCAGAGTCCTTCTTGGCCTGCGAGTGCAGACTGGCTTCGCTTCTCTGTGGTGCTGTTGATAATGCAGTAGTCACAGGTGTTCTTCTAAGGCTTACTTTGTAAGAGTTGTTCTTTAATAAAATTATGATACTAGCCAGAAAGCTCAAGGTGCTAAGGATTCATAGACGTTGCAGTCGTTCAGGGAACAGAGTTTACTAATGATAGCATGCATAAAGGCCCTTGAAATAAACTGCAAGAACTTTTAAAAATTGCAAAAGGCCAGTCAGATTCACTAAAACCTAGCCTATGACAGCATGTTTGAGTACCAAGCCGTTGAAGTTAGTGCTCATTTCTGCCACGCTCTACATCACACATAGGAACACCACGTCTTGTTTATTTAGCACAGACTGGAAGGATGAGCATCAAATACTATGTTTACTTTATATTTCAACTCTTCTAATTGGCATGGCAAGCTTCAGCTTGGAAAAAGAGAGACATGCAGGATTGTAGTCTGAGACAATCTCAATCATTCTAGTGAGTTTAGAAAGATTCAATAATAAAAAAAGTAAACACCAATTTCAAAGCGTGAATATATCAGGAAATCAAATCTATCCTGAATGACTTTGAAGTGTTCTCAATTAACTTGGCTAATATTTTCCCCTTCTCAACATCCACCATGTTGAGTGTGTGTATATCTTTCATATTTTCTCTACTGCTGTTGGCAAAATGGCACATTGCACAGAGTACTTAGGGAAGCTTAAATACTATCTGATGTGATCTGGGCGTAGTTTATATATGTTGAAGGTTAACTAAATCATCCCAGAACAAATTATAAATCTCAATATAAGTCCTGCTGAAAAAGTATCAGTCATTTAAATGGACAACTAAATATGTATGGACATGACATACAGAAAGCAATCATCTTGATATGATTAGTTTTCCACATAGTTCATTAGTAAACAAGTGACAGATACACAGTTAGGCATTAAATAGCTTAATCTAAAAGGAAAAATAAAACTCCTTGATAGAGCTATCTTTTTACATACTTGTTCTAAGAATTATGCTCAAAATCACCGTGAGCAAATTCCCTACTGTTGTACTGATAAATATAGAAAATCTCTGTACCCAGTTTGGAAAAGGAAAACCTGTACAAATAGCCTGTACCTTAAGGCTGTAATAATAATGTTAAAGCTTCCAAAATATTACTTGTATTATTCTTTTTCATGTGCTTAAGCAGTCTAATTAATTATACTAATGAAAGCATACTGTACTATTTACAAATGGCTAACAGAATGGAGAACAAGAAGAAAAACTAACTATATAGCTTAATACTTATAAGACCATCCAATATCCGCTCTGCCCAAAGTTCTCTAGAAGCTAAAGACTTCCAAAAGAACTCTAAATGTGAGAGAATGGTGAAAAAGAGACTTTTATGAAAATTCTATAGTAATTCACATCAGTTTAGGATACCATACTATTTAGATCAAAATGTAAACCTTTCCTACTCTAAATTAACAAAGAGTAGGCAATGATTCAAAGGATTTTTTTTTTTTTAATTTTTAGAAAGTACCAAAATAACAATTTATTCTAAACTTTGACGTTAGTACATTTTTCGGTTATGGAGAAATCATAAACTTAGGAAGCTTGTTTTGTACCTAAAGCTGTATTTACACATATATACTACAGGGATGTACATGACTCACCAATGAGACAGAACAGTTTCTACTTTTTTCCTAAGAGGTAAACTCATTTAGCCAAAGAAATACATAAGAAGTAATGCCTAAACAAGTATACTTAGCTTTCCTCAGTGCTAGGAATCAAATGCAGGAACTTGAACGTGCTAGCCAAGACCTCAACCACTGAGCTACATTCCCAGCACCAAACAAGGAATACCTTAAACTCTCAAGTCAGTTCCTCTGTGGCCAGCAGCTTGCTGAAAAACTGACAAAAACATTGCCTCTGAAAAATCTAAGGACAGCTTCTTTTCTACTGCCACTGAATTCCAGCCCAAACAATTCTGTCCCTTCTTTAAAGCAGCATTTAACTCAGTTTTCTAAAATTTCTATGGAAACTAAGAGCCACACACCATTAATACATGCACGATAAACATAATATCAAGAGTCTTACAATTGTGTGGCATCTCACCACTACTGTAAACTACTTTTCATATTAACTGCCGGGTGAATTATTCTTAAATACATCTATGATCTAGTGAGCTACAGTATCTAGAAAATGTCATGACAGTTGTGAGTCTGTCTTCAGTTCTAGAAGAAATATAAGAAATTAGTATCTCACCTTCTGGTATTTCTGCCACCATTTACATGAATACTGTTCTTCCCAAGAGACAGGCTTTGAAGGGAATATCTGGCACTTATTAAGTGATTCTAACTGAACTGCAGACATGGTTGATGGCAACACACACTCTGGCAAAATTTGCACTTTAGCTTGCTGGATTCTAAAATAAAGAGAACCAGGCATGGTGTTCATTTTTGTGATACACTAAATTAAACTGTAAGTTTCTCAACATAGGTTAATTTTAAATAAAGATTTTTCGAAGTTCCCTCTTTTAATCAAATCGACCAAATGCACATACAAACACAAAATTCTCAAGACAATTTTGTTTAATCTAAATATAAAATGAGATAATTTAGATACAGATTATAGTCTCATCTTAAGTATAAAGAGATTTTACATTTCAAATAAATATGCAGGCACAAATGAAACAAAATTCATTTAATAAAACAGCATATAGGCTACACATTATCTTGACATATCTAATTTCTTACACTACAACTCTCTAACCCTTAATCTCGAGGCTGTAGGCCTCATACACTCTGTCATTAATATTCAGAAAGCAAAAACAGGTAGAGAAAGAATGGAGAAAAAAAACTCCACACAAATGTACTTTGGATAGTAAGACAACAGTATTACATACATACTCTGTTTCTAAACAAAATTTTATTGTACCAAAGACATTTTAGAACCAATGTCCTCTATGCCATACCAGGCTTTTGCAGCACAAATGTTAAAAACCAGAGAGGAAGTGAGCCTTCATGGTCTCTGTTCAACATGCTTGCAGGGTGTGTATGTGTATGTGAGTGTGTTGGTTCTCTCTAATGTGTTTACGGCAGTTACTTTATTATTACATGGTTTTATTAAAAAGGCTGTAAAAGCACGTGAAATTGAGGCAAATCTGAACCTTTAGGATTTTGTATTCACACTGACTAGCGCTTGTCTGTAATACGTGTAAAAAAGAGCTGCAAGTGTAGATGGATCATGTATAAACAAAGTACAGAGCATCTCTCTACATCCTAATGGATCTGCAAACGCAGTTCAAAGAAAACCACTCTTGTCTTTTCCCAAAATGTTACACTATTTTAATTTTCAGCTAAAATGTTTGTACTATATAGTTCAAACTTTTTTGACTAAAAATTATTTATCTCAGATTTGACAGATAAAATATCTTATAATTCATGGAGGATGTTAATATCTTTTTCTGTATATTACTTCTAAGAAACAGATTTCTGAAGAATCCCACACTGAGTCAAATACACCTTTCTTTGTGTTAGTTTTTAAAAAGTCCATGTATATGAAAAATAGACTTTTAACAAGAACGGTTACACTGTGCTTAGGAAGTGTCATTTAGGTGAAAAAAAAAAAAAACAACAAAAATTCAGTCTTAATTACAGACTTCATAGGGTTAAGTTCCCACTGTGCTGAGGAACAATTCTGGTATAAAGCAGACAGCTAGCTGGAAAGTCACAATGTGGAACAAATCTGCCATTTCTTATTTACCTGGATACCTGCACCCTTTATGGTACACCTTACTCATTTGCAAAAAGAGACTGTCCTGAACCTTCTTTGACTTGGCTCTTTTAAGTCATGGTGGTTTCAGAACCAGGGTGGAAGTAGAGGCAAAGAAATCTTATTCCACGGAAGGCTTTTAAGCTGAGATCCATCTTTTTGAGAGACTTTAATATATAGTAGGTCAACAGAATACAAGAAAGAATTCTTCTTCCCAAGGCCTGTCAATATGTCAATCTTCACTAGATTCCAGCCATGTTTCTTGACCTACTTTCTGATGATGACTATTAAAGCTTATGCTTTACACAACCAATTTTTGAAGTCATATACAGAAATACACTGTATCACAAGTCAATTTGTTTTGTAGCTTCTAGAAAATAATATTCACAAAATAAACTGTAACAAGATGTACATAGGAAGTAAGTTAAAACCTGTTAGTGTCCACAAAATCCACAGTAACAAAACAACCAACCAATTACTAACAGACCCTCAGATCACCTTGTACTCATTCCCATAATGCTGTCCCAAATGTAGACCACACAAGTTCCAGTCACTTCCCCAGCACCATGTCTACTGAAGGACTAAAGCATAGAACCTTACAAAGGTTTTGAGTTTGTGTAATGAAATGTTCTAGGGAAGGACCAGGAGAAAACCAAGCCCCTCACATCTGGACATCTCACCCAATATCCACATGATTTCTTGTCCCAAAATGCTGTCTCTTAGACACTTTTGTTACTTAATATTTACAGTTGCTCACAATAGAAACATAACAGACAATAAATCTTTTCTTCATGCAGCTCACATTCTTGCTGATTCCTAACGTTTTCAGATGCCACATGAAATAAAGAAGTCTGACAGAATTTTCAGCTCTAACTACAAATCAGTGAACAATTCCTTAGAAACAGAACCCAGAGGCTGTCCCCTAAAATATTACAGGTGCTGCCTGTGTTCCAGAGACAAGACATGACACCAAGTAAAACAAATGCTTCTAATTAATTTCCATTTTAGAGGTATGGGTTAAGCTAGCAGAAACTAATGGAAAAAGATAAACAAACAATAAATAAACAATATTTTCTGGTCATATGAAAAGCTATGTTAACTGCTATTTCCAGGGAGCTTCTAAACTTCACACAGTGCAGAGACAACAGAATTTCTTCATTACTCATATAAAAGACATCTTGGGATGATATAAAACTCAAAATGCAAACAGCCACAAGTCTCCCTGGCTGGTACAGCTCAGGTGTAGCACTTGGCAGGTGGACTACTCCGTGTGGCTTTCAAGCAGCACAGGAATGCTGCCAATACCACACCTGTCCCGGTGAGCATGCTGATCACAGCTTTTGCCTTCTATTCTCCTATGCTGCAGAGAGCTCTTCAATTCCAAAGAAGCCTTGCCCCCAAGCGGTACTATCTTTGGTATTTATATTATTGTTCTCAAACCTAGAGGGATATTACAATCATCTAGAAATAATTTTTATGTACTTTATATATCTGAGTGTTCTGTCTGCCTGCATGACAGAAGAGGGCATCAGATCTGATGGTTGTGAGCTACAGTGTAGTTGCTGTGAACTGAACTCAGGACCCCTGGAAAAGCAACCATCTCCCCAGCCCTTAGAAATAATTTTTACACGATGCTGCTGCCTCCTTCCACATTAAGTCACACTCTGGGCTGAGAGGTAAGACTGAAACTAAAGTCTCTACGGTTTTACACTTGCTGGTGACTCTGTTAAACATCAAAGTTGGAAACTAAGGGCTTATACCTTAAAAGGCAAAGAGAACAATTTACCCTTGTTCATTCAAATGCTGATTTTCCTACCCCACTATCTGACATTGCATTGATGTTTATTCTAAGCATCACCTGTCTCATTTGCGTAAACATGCCATCATTTGTTCTCTGTAATTTCAATAAAACAACCAGCCAATGCTGAGCAATGGACAGACTAGGGTAGGACACCCTGTTCCTGAGGGGAAGAGAAAGAAATGAGTTGGGGGAGTCGGAGAGGAGAGATGGGCAGGAGAGGACTTGGAACTATGAGGAGAGATGAACTGGACCAAAGATATGACTAAAACCAGGTATAATGTGGGAAATCCGAATGGGAGGAAACTACGTGGCCTTGGGGTTTAGGATGGAGTGACTATTGCCCAGCATTGTGCTCTAGGTTAATTAAGTAAATCCTAGTCTCTATGTGGTGATTTGGGTATATAGCTGGTTTAGGAATAACCACTGTTTAACTAAAAGATAAATCAATAATAAATAATAACAAACAACTAAGGAAATTATAAAATAGAAAGGATCAGTAAATAGTAAATTAATATAAATTCATTTCTCTGTAAGATGCACAAAGTTTCTTACCCATCTGATTGTGTTCGAAGTTCAAGGACCTTGAACCTCTGCCGTCCAATTGCTTTCACTTTCACTACTTCAATTCCGAACTCCTGCTCTTCACGATAAGCATATATCTCTGCCGTTGTTCCAAACTGTGCTTCCCTTTCCTGAATATTACTTCCAAGACAAAAATTTACAGAAAGTTTTCAGCTTTGGTTTTTAAATACCCAAAATTGTCAAAAGCAAAACAGAAGGAAAACAAGCAGCCAATGCTCACTATAAAGCTAAGAGGACATAAGGCTCCAGAAAGCAAATAGTGTATTTTAGAATAAGGGTGGATTTTTAAGAGCCACAGAAATAACCTAGGGCTAAAAAGCTTTAAATTGCCATTTCGCAAAGTAAACATTATTTCACTTTGTTAGACAATGATGCTTGCTGCTAATTAGCATCACTATGCCTATGTGATGTGAGTGTGTGGGATAACTGGACACTTCCTCTTTCCACTTCCTGCCTCCACCACATTTCCTTCATTTGCTACTTGAAGAACAACTTCAGTTTACCACAGTTTTGTATTGGTACACCTTGTGAATTATGAAAGGGGAAAGTAATCTCTATATGAAAATATAAAAGCCTAGCTATCTTTGAATAAAGACAGTTCTAAACTCAATTCTAGGCAGGTTTTCCATTAAATGAGGTCTAGAGTCCGAAATAGCTAAACTATGAAAGTAAATGTCTGACTTGCAAAATGATGAAAATAGTATTAAATAAGCCAGTCTGTACTTTCAAACTCCTACGTGACAATATTTACTTTGAATTCTAAACCAAAAGCTGCAAAATTTCAGTCAGCTTTGGCTACCACACTGGCCTTGGCTGTGACAACAAAAGACAGTGTAGTAAGCAGATTACTTAATCTCGTACCTGTAAGCCAGAACTGCAAAGGTTCTGTCTTTCTGGATTAAATTCCGAACCATGCTGACTTCTTGCGGGTGAGAAAGCTGCAGTGGTAATGTCTGCCCTGGAATCAGGATCAGCATCACCTGAGGGAGGACTGGGATCACCTGACAGCTGTCATCATCATGTAAAGTTCTACCATGGAACTCTTCCATATCGGCTCCCAGATACTGTTCAAGGACACAGAGTCAAGAAAGAAGCTCAATACAGCTCAAAAGGTTAAAGAACAAGACAGAATGAAAGAACTACTCAGACAGGGCACACGTGCTGATTTACATAAACTTGGTTACATAACCACATCTCTATCAAACCCAAATTTTTTACCTAGTATTTCCTATTAGCAAAACTCCAGATTTTTATGAAGAATCATCAGGATTTCGTAGTTCAAAATATTTTAACCAAAATAGTCTGTGTCCAAATATGACAACCAATATGACAGAATGTTAGTATGCAGGATACCACCCCACATCAGCAATATAGAGACTACATTAAGAATCCAATGCAGCCAGTCCTGCTGGGACCTGATAGACTAAGGTCAGATGGAAGGGGGGAGGACCTCCCTGTCAGTGGACTGGGGGAGGAGTATAGGAGAAGAGGGAGGTAGAGGGGGTGAGATTAAGAGGGGACGAGGGAGGGGGTTACAGCTGGGATATAAAGTGAATAAACTGTAATTAATAAAAACAAATTAAAAAAAAAAAGAATCCTCTGAACCATTCGGGGGAAGACAATTCCTCAGACACCCAGGACAAATTAAAAAATTAAAGTTGTATATATAGATACTAGAAAATAGTACAAGAATCGCATGAGGATATAGTGTTACATTGCTTAAATTTTAAAATTACATGTGTATGCCTTGGAAAATAACAGTCTGTCCTCATCCACAAGTTCTAGGGTCAGCTAATGTGCCAGCATCCCTTAGCCACTTGCATTTAGGAAACTGCAGGTCCATTTACACTATTAGTTCAGTGACTAAATTACATACTGTATGTGAGGTTGGAAGGCTGGTGTCAAAGTTTATGATATTTGGTTTTCTGGCTTCTTTACTATCCTGGTCTTCTACTTCCATTTCAATTTCATCTTCTTCATCTTCACTCTCTGCTAAAGTAGAATAGAAGGAAAAAATGAAATTCATTTAAAAAAAACAACAAACAAAAACCCCAACTCTGTTCCCATTCACACAGCCCACCTCAAGGAAAGGCACTCTGTGCAGAGAGACAGTGGAAGCCTGAATCTCTGCTCCTTCTTTCCTTTTCCCCCCCTCCCTCTTTTTAATAATTATTTTAGGACACAGGATGTTGGAGAAATGCAATTCTAGTGTGCCACAACTTTTATCTTCCTCTAGTTGACATGGTATATTCATTTGCTTCTCTTCACAACTAAGTCATCAATATTAGCAAATTATTATTAACAATTTAGTTATTTAATTTGGCTTTCCTTAAATTTTTAGCTAATCTCCATTTCCTGTTCTAGACTCTCCTCCAGGGTCCCACATTATACTTCTGTGTCATGGCTCTTCTGCTGCCTCTGGCAGGCTGCTAGTTCTGTTTTCCTCACCAGAAACTTTACACAGTACCCTTCCTTAGGGATCAACTGGATGTAATCCTCAGAATTCTGCTAAGGACAGAGCCGTTCCCTCATCTCACATCATGGATACTTCTCCCTGAGCGAGGGGCTGAGGTTCTTCCTTGGCCATCTGGCCAGAAACAGCAACCAGGCTCCTTCACGGTAAAACTCCCTTTCCTTCCTTTCTCACTAGCTCCAAACTTACGAGGGAAATAGCTAAACTATGCCATTCACTTGTATGGACAGTTTTTCTCATCTCCATAACTACTAATTAGTTCCAACATCTTACACGATGATCTAATCTAATTTAATCTAATTGATTAAAGCTTAGTTTCTTCATATGAAAAAAATATGCATGCTTAACAAGGTATAACCTTTGAGGTTCTTTCAAAATTTAACTATAAAGAGTTTCTCTGTAAGAAAGAAAACAAAGAAGAAATAAGCAGGGAAGAAAGATCTGTTCCTTAAACTGGAAAAAAGATAGCATTAAGACTTGGCGGAGGGTACTGCTTTTCCAGTGACTACTTTCCTAGCTGTCAGTATCATAGTTAACATTGAATGTTTATAATTAGTTTCATAAAACATTGCTTCATCATTTTAAATTAAAAAAAAAAGCATTCTCACAAAGAAAATATATTTTAAATGAGATGTCTTAAGGACATTTTCTTTTTAATTAAAACTAAGATGATCCACTTTAAAATTTGATATTACCAAGGACAGAGATGAAAGTCTGAAAAATCAAAACAATGCACTACTTTATGGAGGTGTTATTCTATCAAGTGGGAGTTGTTCTTTTCTTGCAAACTACAGGTTCATTTCCTACTCCAAGAATGAACCCCCCCTCCCCCTTGTGATTTTTGGAACTGTCTGAAGATGTCTTTAACTGTAAAAATCCTGATAAGCCAGACTTGGGGTTGGTCAGGCATGCTGCTAAACTCAGTGTACTGCTTAAGGTACACCTTTCAACAAGGGGTTTTCCAGCCTCAAATGCTGACAGTTTCAAGACTGACCTAAACTAAGTATTAAAACCCACCAAACCTCATTTCTATTCATATATTTTTAAATGTCTCCAAAAAATTTGAAATGCATAAGGTTTCATTACAAATTGGTCAGCTCTTCCATTTTAGAAATTATTTATATCAAATTATCTGTAAGTAGGTTCCTAAGAGAACATACAAAGATTTTACAATAAGGGAAATGGCTGGAACTTTATTATAAATTCCTAGGTATTAAGCTCTGTCAATGAACATAATTATTTCAAGTTGTATGCAGATAGTTGATATTTAATACTTACGAACATGTTTTGTTTTTTTCTTGATAACAGGGAAGTCACATTAAGAGATAAAGACAAAACTAAAATGATGGAAAAATCATTCTGAATTATTTTTTTAATCTACAACTCTGAGAATCTAGATTTTACATGACATTTGGAGACTCATTCTTTTCTCTACTACAGCATGTATAAAATATCCAATGCTAGCTCAAGGGCTGAAGTTATATAAAAATTATACTTGAAATTTTCTACTTCTTTATTCTTTAAAAGAATTTGTTACTTATGGTGTGCATTCTCATAAACAAGGCTATGTTTATCTTTGAACATTCAATTTGTCTAATATAGATTCTTCACACCTAAAATGTTAAGCAATTTTGCTGGCACTTAAAGAGGATCGCTTTTCAAAGCAACTTACATTATACAGATTCAAGGAGCAAGCCAAAGTTTCTCCAGAAATCAAACTCTTGTACCTTGGGAAACCATTATTCTACACCTACAACATCTATAAGAGTTTGTGAGCCTCTTTTAATATTGTAAATTGAGAAAATACACACAGACTTTTCAGAACTACCAATGACTCATGTAGGTGAATGCCAAGAGAACACCCTCTGTCTACTCCACCACTCTTCTTCCTAAATATCTGGTACATTCAAGGTGCTGCCAATTTCTCTTAAATCTCTTCTGTTGAAATGTGACTTTACTACATTTATGAACTTCAGCAAGTACAGCTTCACAACCAGTGACTTACAAGTTGCCTTCTGTGCACTGGCCCCGCACCCAGCATTCATCTCCTTCAATCTACATTACTACCAAGGAACAGATTCATACCCAAAGCACAGCTTTCCAGAGGCAACTAATTGAAACCTGAAACTATTTCTTCACACCTCACAAAAAAGTTCCTAACTCAAATGATTACAAATGCAATCATCTGTAATCAACAACTCAGAACTAACCCAGTCCACAGTCATATCCCAAGTAAATCTACATCACAAGATTTTTCAATTTCTCTAGTCCCAGAATAACCCCTAATTCTAAAGAATCATAAGAGGGGTTGGGGACAAAGCTCAGAGGATTTGGAAGTCCCTGGAATCCAATCCAGCATAGCAAAGAATCAAACACAAAGCTAACACACCCTAACAGCACTTGCTTATGTGGCCCCAAATGAACTGCACCTGAGATTATAATTATTCTCAATTGCCTTACCTCAACTGTGAACCTCCTAAAATCAGAATGCTGAGTATGGTGATGGTTTCCTTACAAAGGCTAGCACATTACATGGCTTACAAGCAAAAGACCCGAACAATAGTCTATGTTGTCCACAGCATTCTAAGAATAGTATGCATCACGAGTTCATGTCCTTTCAGTATTCAGTACTGCAACATAAAGCTGCAATAAAGCATACGGGCATAAAGTAAACAGGAAAGAGAAACTGGTAGTATCATTCTCTCGAGTATCTTAAAAATAAGCGCATTATTTGCAAACCTGAGGAAAACACCACCAAATACTGCTTCCACAGAGAGAGTTAAGAGGTACCAGCTGTGATGACAGACCAGCACACCGCGGAACCCTGTCTGCAACTGTGTGACCTTCCACGCCACTGAATTGTATACATTTAACAATCGGTCAATACATTTCTCCTCTATAAGCAAGTTTCTGAACAGGCGACAGGTGTAACGGTAAAAGCAGGAATGCATGCAAAGCATTCACTTCGGGGCTCGTGACATCCAAGTGTAATGTCTAGGACATATTAGCCGTCAGGCTTACTAAGACAGACTTGTGGGAAAAGTAACGGCTACTAAAGTGACCCGGTTCCCGACTTCGCCTGGTCCCAGAGCATTTTTAATGGAGGCCCGCTAGGGCGAAAGATGGAAAGGAATGGGTTCCTGCTCTGTAAAGTCCCACGCCCCAACATCCCCCACAGCCCAGGAGCCAGAGGCCAGGAAGAAAGCACAGGGCTGCGGCGGGCGAGGCTCGCGAGAAGCTTCCCACTCGCCGCTGCGCCTGGCTTCCTGTCCCGTCCTCCCTGCGGGGTCGGTCCCGGGCCTCGCTCTCCACCGGCAGCCAGGCGTCGGTCCCGGAGATTACCAGCCAGGAGCGGCAGGTGGTTGCCCATGTTGTGCGCAGCGTCCCGGTGATCTTCCTCGTCGGCCATGTCTGTTTACCCGCAAAGGAGCCTGGGACAGGGCGGTGCCCGGACGCAGGGGGAGGATCTGCGCCACGCTGCCGCCACGCTCCCGGGCCACAGCGCCTCCTGGCGGCTCCAACCAGGAGAGCCGCGAGCCGCCTAGCCGAGAAATCTGGAAGGATGCAGAATAACCAAGCCGAAGGAAGAACAGCAAGGGACCTTTCTTTATCCGCAGCCCTGCGTGACCTAGTGCCCGCCCTCCCACAGTTTGTACAGGCTCCTCCTCTTCCCAGCCACGAAGACAGTTTTACAGGTAGGGAACCCGAGGCTGTGTTTTTAGTGTCCACCTTGAGCAAACAAACCTCTTTGGTGCAGAAGTATGGAAATGAATATTCAGAAAGCACATGGACTGTTCCAGGGGCGGTTGGAATATGGCTGATTTAAAAAAAAAAAAATCCAGTAGTCCTCAGATATAGGCCCCAAATTAACGTGTAACAATATGTGGCAAAGACTTTCAAGAACAAGAAAAGCGCCGATAATCACCTGGAAAGTAAAACTGTCAGGATATAAACCAACCCAGTCATAATGGCTTCACTAAGAGAAAAAAAAAATCAATATATGGTAAAACAATTACAATATACCAGAAGAAAGAGAATTGTTTTAGCACCGGAATCGTGGCTGGCAATTCTTTTAAATTTCAAGAGTGTAGACAATGTCTTTCACTGTAGACAAGTTTTCACTGAAGAAAGAAAACTGGAAAAAATGGAAGGAAGGAAGGAAGTGGTGGTGGTATATCAGAGAATAAGAGGAAGGCGGAAAAGACAGAGAAAACTAATAAATCTGAGGTTTTAAGACAATTCACCCCAACCGGATGTGGTGGCATATGCCTTAAATCCCAGTACTCTGGGAGGCCGAGGCAGATATCTCACTATGAGTTCAAGGCCAGTCTGTTCTACAATGTGAGTCCAGGAAAGCCAAAAAGACATTTTATCCCTAGAAAAACTGCCACATTGAAAAGTCACAATCTGAAAATATTTTGGAACAGTACCTCAATCAATTTCCTATCACTCTGCCTTCTATCCCTAAGTCACTATGGCCTTGACCAAACCACAGGACTCTGTTTATACAATCTCAACACCAGAACTAATAATGTCTAAGATAAGTCCTTTTTAATAACATGTGATATGTTGATGCCTTTTATGATCAGAGTTAAAAAACAGCCGAATGAGCCATTGTGATGGGTTAGTGATGTTAAGGTATTGGTCTAGCTAGTCAGAGGATGATTCGGTTCTGGACCACTAGAGAGCATATGCAGGAGAGAACCCGCAGAATAGATGATGAGTGTTAAAGGAGGAGCAAAGAGTTCGACCAACTGATGCAGAAATGTGCAGAGCTATACAAATATGTGTGCATTTTTGCTACCACGGGATCAATTTAAATACAGTCTGCAGATTTTCAATAAATTGTGTACCTGCAGATTTTTTTTCTCTAGACAGCAAGCATCTGGTTTCTATTTTGTCTGTCTGTTTGTGCATGTGTGCACTCACACTTTTTGGTTTATGGGGGAGCAAGTGGAGGCCAAAACTCAACTTGGAGTTTGATTACTTAGAAGTAACCCACCTTGTCTACTGAGGCAATGTCTTTCACTGGCCTGGCGATAAAGAATCCCAGGGAGCCCCACTGTGGACCCAGAGGACCCACTGTGCCTCTGTAGCAATGGATGGTGTTACAAGCGAAGCTTACCGCCCCCACGGGATTTGTATAGATTCTTGAAATTGAACTCAGGTCCTCATGCTTGAACAACAAGTACTAAAGTAAGACACCTCCCTAACCCTACGTATTTAGTTTCCAAATAAGAAAGCTATTACTTTTCTGTGCTTTTCTCAATCCTCTGAACCCCAATTCAATCAAGAACTGTCTGGGTAACAAAGGACCACTGGAGTCCTGGGAAAGCTCTCTCTCTCTCTCTCTCTCTCTTAAAGTAATGCTTTACCATCACCATCACCAGAGCTCCCATTGTGTGCCTTTCACTGTTTTCTCTTTTCTCTCTTATCCCTTCAAATTCACCACCTAGTTCTTTCTTCATTTCATCCCTCTAATGTGGACTCGTTTGCCTATAGCTTCATCTTTCCATAAGGATCACAAGAAATATCACTGGAAAAAATACCTCGGCAAGCATGCTTCTTATATTAAAGCCCTATGTATTAGAAGTAAATAAGAACCATGATCCTATACTGGTGTGTGTGTGTGTGTGTGTGTGTGTGTGTGTGTGTGTGTGTGTGTAGTAACCCAGATAGGAAGACATCTTTTCTTTAGCATACCTCTAACTGTCAAGTGCTGGGTCTGGCAGCGCTTTGCTGTGAGATGTGTACTTCAGCATCACATACTGTAAATTCCAGTTACGGGTGGATAAAGATAGATCTTGTCTGTTCTACACAGGTCTAGAGGGAAGTAAAGGGCTAAACCTGCTCTGTAAGCAGGAATTAATAAGAGGCAGGGCATCTTTCATAGCCTCCTCAGTGTCAACAATTTTATTAATGACTCTCATATTTCAGTTATATGTAGAATGATGCAGGGTTTGAAGAAATTGTTATGTGCAGCTTTCACAGCTGCTGTAATATTTTCTGGTCCTCCAGAGTGTATGTGGGTTCCACAGAGGGTGGCTTATTTGTGAAAAATGATTGTTTGGGACAGTACTTAGGACTGCAATTTACTGCGACCTCCTACCACCGCATCCATCTCTGACTTGACAGGTAAAGTAGAGAAGATTTTGCAAGATGGTAAAATGTTGGGGAATTGATGGTTTTTAGACTCTTCTACAGAATTGTTTTCATGACTCACCTGGATATTCTCAATGGCAGGTGGCACTTCCACCATAGCTGAGAATCACCGCAGAGAGGAGAGCACAAAACAAGAAGGGGCTCTAGGCTCTACACTCTCCCTCCCTTTTTAGATCATGATTTTAACGTCTTCCTCCTTGCCTCTGTTTTCTTGGTGTTGCTGTAACAACTGACTATATCTAGGTCATGTGAAATTTTTCTACAATGACAAAAGACTAGCAGTTCAGTGCTAGTCTTTTATGTTTTGCTCAAATAAGGAGAATATGGGGGCACCGTCTCCAGCACACCGTCTTCTCTGTTGATGGGTCATTAGGCTACTTCCCAGTAGTAACGCCCCACTGGAATTTTCTTCTACAATCACTGGCTGCCACAGCAGAAGGAAAAAGCTTGGAGAATGAGTCATTCTCATTTAAATTTAAATATTTAAATTCTCATTTAAACATGACTAGTGACACTAGTCATATTTAGTGGGCCAAAGCAAAACCTAGGGTGCTGTCTAAGTTGCAGTGGAAGAATTAGATTATCACAAAGTGGAATTCGGTCATATTAGAAGGCTTTGCCACAGGGTAAGATCAAATAAGGGGTTTCATGTATGTGGGTGCATACACACACCATATATATTTACACACACACGCGCGCACACACACACACACACACAAACTCAAAGAATACATTTTTAAGTGATTTCAGTGTTTTCAAAATCTGAGTGGTATAGTTCTGCTATTATTCTTGGCTACATGGACCAGAGTCCATCACTCCTAACCTAAAGCTTGTACAGGGTGTTGCTGTCCTGAATGTGATAGGCAGTTGTAGTATAATGTTAAGTACTTGTGGATCTAACTGTGGTGAGGATAGGTATCATGGATGAAAACTGGCACATGGTGCAAAGCCAATGCCCTGAGTGAAGCTTCCAGCACTTAGAAATTATTCTGGGTGAGTTTTTGAGTGAGTGATGAATGCATATGAAGTTAAGGGACCTTGTGTTCACCCCGGTAGATTTTGTAAACATGATATGCACAGATACTCTAAATTTATAAAAATAGTTGCTCCAGGAATTAAAGTTTAGCAGATTGAAACCTTTTTACCTTATGAGCTATTTTTAAACATTTTGACTTGTATCTAAACACAGAAACACATTGTATCACCATACCCTTTTTTTTTGTAAATTGAATTTTATATTTTAAATCACATATTTAAATTTTCTAAGGTATTTCCTTATTGTTTAAACTGAAAGCACAGCACACACATGAGCTGGTACCTACACAGGGTCAGGCTTACCACCACTGTGTTCCACTTCTGTATCCTGTCCTGCTGGAGGGTCCTCAGGGCAGTAACATTTGGAGTGTGGCCTCCTATGATCACCAAGCTTCTGCTAGGATACTTTTAGATGGGCCTGCCTGAGGCTGTTTAAATTTAACTTAGAAAAGCAAGTAAAAGGAACACCCTCTAAAATATTCATTAACGTATATTACAGTAAATACGCAAACCAGTAGTAAAAATAATATGATAGTTAACTGTTAATGATGTGACAAATGACTGAAGGTGCACTGGTTTGTGTGAGCGATGGGACAGTGAGCAATATAGCGTGCTATGACACCATAGCATCACCAGGTGGCAGTAGTTCATTAGCTGCATCGCGCCTTCCCTCGCCACCCTTCCAAAAGCAGTCCACTTGGCTCAAAACTTCTGGTCTGTCACTCACAGGTGACACGCGAGTGTTTGTTAAACACTTAAGTCTGATACAAAATTGAGGCGTGTACTTTGTATGTGGTTTCTTTGGGTTTTACAGCATTCTTGAGAACTCTACTCTCAACCTAGCCCAATATGTTATGACCATAAGTCAGTTTCCATGTATGAAAGAAGTCCAGCCTGAAGGATTTTTAACATCTAAGCCAGCTTTCAAGGCTCTGCGGCTTTGTCTCTTTAAGCCTCCTTAATGTCTTTGTTCACTGTGTGTTCCTGACTTTTGTCCTATCCAACTGGATACTGCTCAAGGACTGCCTAGATAAAGCTCAGAGTACTCCTTTGACTATGCCTTGCGGCCTCCTTCCTGCTCCTTGTGGCCCTGTGCTTTGTCCAGGATTCCACAAAAACATTGGTTTCACTTAAATCATTGCTTTATGTTTTGTTTAGTAT